AAATGTGTATGTTATTGTTGCCTATTTTATGGTCTAAAGTGGCCTACAACGTGTGCCAACATGTTTTATATGTTTCTCAAGTGAATTCCCTTTAAAATATAAATAAATGTATTTTGTAAAATTAAAAAAAAAAATTGTTTTAACTTTGGCTTGGTGGCACATGCCTGTAGTCTCACCCAGCTACTTGGAAGGCTGAAGCAGAGGATCACTTGAATCCAGGAGTTCGATGCTGCAATATGCTACGATCATGTCTGTGAATAGCCACTGCACTCCAGCCTGGGCAACAAGAAAGACCCTATCTCTAAATAAATAAATAAGTTTTTCTCCAGAATTATATTTTTAGTATTTTGATCTTTCAGGATTTCAACATTTGGGATTAAGGCAATTGGGATTATATCTTTCGGGATTATGCCTCTAATTCAACACTATCCTGTATCATTGACCTCTAATGAAATTCTATTAGATTGAGTAAGGTCAGTGTTTTTCATACTGGAATTAGAGAACAGACCACTCATCGTGGTGTCATGGCTGTAAAAGATGGGGTTTGATTGGCAGAAGCCAATATTTAGACAACTGGTTGGAAGACTTGCCAGATATTAGTGTAATGGGAAGGGGAAATTATAATTTGAAAAGATTATACCCTCTTTCATTTGGGATTTTTAAGTTCTTCCAGGTAAAAATATCTTATCATGTATACTATTGCTGGTCGGTATGTAAATTTTACAACCACTTTGGGGAACAATTTGGAAATACCTAGAAAAGTTGAAGGTGCACTTTCTACGTAACCAAGCAATTTCAATTCCAGGTGGCTGCTATGGACTGAATTGTGTCCTCTCAAATTCACATGTTAAAGCCTTAACCTTCAGTATATCTAGACATAGGGTCTTTAGGAGATATTTAAGGTTAAATGTGGTAATAAGGATGAAGCCCTAATTCAATAGCACTGTGTCCTTCTAAGAAGAGGAAGAGAAAAAGATCTCATTCTCTCTCTCTGCCATGAAGATACAGTGAGTGGCCACCTACCAGGCAGCAAAAAGGGCCTGACTAGAATCCAGTTATCCTTGGTACCTTCATCTCAGACTTCTGTTCTCCAGAACTGTTAGAAAGTAAGTTTCACCTGAGCAGACCAAGACAATGGCTACCCTAGAAAAGCTTTTATGTGTGTCCAAGAAGACAAAATACAAAATACATGTTCATCATATCACTGTTCCTAATAATAAAAATGCAGAAACTGGTCAGGTGCATTGGCTCACACCTGTAATACCAGCACTTTGGAAGGCAGAGGCAGGTGAATCACTTGAGATCAGGAGGTCGAGACCAGCCTGGCCAACATGGCAAAACCCCGTCTCCACCAAAAAAAAATATATATATATATATATATATATATATATATATATATATATATATATATATATACACACACACACATATGTATGTATATACACACACACATATGTATGTTTACACACACACACACACACACACACATATGCTAACTTCCTGTAAAGAAACTATTTATTCATATAACAATTCCAAACAACAGTTAAAATGAATGAACTCCAATAACAGGTATTCATATAAATAAATCTCAAAAATATAGTGTCAAGAAATAAGTCAATCTGTAAAAGAATGCTTATACATACTATCGTAAAATTTAAAACATAAAACAATAGTTCATAACTTTTTGGAAATACACTTGTATAAACAAAAAGAAGTGTTGTTTAATGCATGCTTATCATGACAATACATGTCTATCATGTTTTACATAGTTGAGGCAACAGAATTTTGGATGTTTTAATTAGTTAGGGCCACCTACCACCAGACACCCTATGAGATTCTTTAACCTATAGTTGATGAAAAATAAAGACCTGAAGGAGAATGACAAATTATTCTGAGGAATAATGGCTAAATGCACAACCTATATGTGCATAATGTCATGCTACACACTTGGAGGCATGATACTAGATAATAGTTATACACACACACACAAACTACATGCTTAGCCAGCATGAATAAGAAAATGGTCTTTACACTTGCTCAAATTAGATTGCTGTCTTTTTTCATCATCCAGATTTTGTGAATTCTCTATGTCCTATTCTCATCCATCACTTTCACCATCAGAGTCCTTATCACTACTTGAAAAAAAAAAAAACTCAGACTCCTGTTTATCAGATTGTCCAAAATTCACTGAAAATCCTGTTTTGACAAGTAGTATTTCTAAGGATGATCTGTCCTTTCAACAAGCTTTGTGATTCTCTGACCAGGTGCCCGTTTGCTATTCTTCTACCGGATAGATTGAAGGAGTGTTTTAACTCTGGTCTTTGGCAGGAAGAGTGCCTTATCATCTGGGCTAGCAGTAAAAACATGAACGTGTGTGACTCCTTGTGTTCCACCATGAAATACTCCTCCAGGCACAGCAGTTCAAGGGTACTTTGTAAGTGACTGGAATCACTACTTGCATTTATAGATTTTTACATCATTTTATATCGTTTCACATTTTACTTTTCCATGATATACTTCCAAGAGAAGTAAAAGATACCTACATATTTCCAATAAAAACACAGAAAGAAATAATAAAGTGCACTTATTTTTTTTTCCATCAGCTTAAAATTAATATAAACAATCTTATCCCAGAATATAATTTACTTTGACTTGGGTCAAATGTTTTATATACAATTTGTTCTTTTGTGTATGTCCGTTTGTCCCAAACTGAGTTTTATACAATTGTGTTATTAACTCTTTTGTTAAGTGTAAAGAAAAAAAGTGTTTCATTGTCAAGTAAACTGGTATGATTGGAGATAGATCAAATTAAATAAGTTTCACTTTTGAAGACCTTCTCAGAGGCTATATGTGGCTATTCATTATAAACCCCAAGAGATGCTAAGGTATACAGTGTAACAACACCCTCACTTTTTTTCCAATGTTGTATTATAGAATGCTTATTTATGTCACAGATTCTGTATTTTTTCATATTTAGGCAGATTATAGTTCAAATCCCTTGGATTTATCATTTGACTCTATGTTTATAATTAGCTTTCTAACCCCATTTTTAAATACAATTGAATTGTTTACTTCTTTTTGTTTAAATTATGAAACTGACATTCATAAAAACTCAAATCATACAGAGGGATAGTGAATAAAAAGCAAACATCTTCACCGTCCCCAGAATCACATTCTCTTCCCTCAGCAGTAACTGTTGACTAGAGTTTGATGAGTCTCTTTTTAAGTCACTTTTACGTAAAACAATCAAGTTACTATTTCATATCGTCTGACAAAAACAACAGACATCTTCAAAATTGGATTAGAAAAAAAATTTTTAAGATATCTTCAAATAACATATATATATATTTCCCTGATAATTCAATGGCTACATTTTTCAGATAGTGTCAGATTCGGTTTTAGGTGAAACTCTTGACTTTTCATTAACGTAAATGGTTACTGAGAAAGTAAGTTGAAGAATATATAATTTATTTACATTTTCCCCAAAATTATGCTAGATAAATTAAATCTTTAACTTTAATCTTTCTTTAAATCCTTCACGAATTTATGTCAACCTATCCAAATAAGCATAAATCAAACCACACCCTCACTCACCGAACAGACAAGACCTCAACGCCCTCTAGTGGAGTGGCCTCCACGCTCCATTGTGTGGGACCAACCTCTATTCCAGTGGGTAAACTGAAGTGAATGAGCTCTTATGAGGATGAGATTATAACTTGTCAAGGTTAGAATGGTACTCCCTCTTTCATTCATTTAATAAATAGTTAAACTTGCTTTAAAAGAAAATAAGTTAAAATGAGCCACCACAAAGAAAACAAGAAAAAATTATGAGGGGAAATATCCACATATAAAATGTCAAATAATAACTTTATTGCTATAGAAAAATCAGTCCCTGATCTTCCAAGTGTCTGTTTGTCTTGACTTCTTACTCTTGGCCACATCACTACTCTTTACTACTGAATTTACAAAGATTTAAATCTATTCTTTAATTTTTTTTAAGTGCTTAGCTTTGTCTTTAATTTCACTTCTCTGGGTTTATCACTTTTCCTTAAGAATTACTTCACTCGGAGAAACTGGAATGCATTGTCACTGCTGGTGATCTTCAGGTAAGTCTGACAAACCAGAGGCTTTTGGAACTGCGTTTTATTTTTTATTTATTTATTTATTTTTGAGATAGTCTTGCTCTGTCACTCCAGCTGGAGTACTGTGGTAAAATCACAGCTCACTGCAGCCTTGAATTCCTGGGCTCAAGCAATCTTCCTGCCTCAGTCTCCTGAGTAGCTGGAAACTACAGGCAATGTGGCCACGCCTGAAAAATGCCATTCAAAGAACTGGTGAAAGATTGGTCCATAAGAAATGGAGCACGATAAGAAGAAAGGAGATGAACAGGACAGTTGTGAAATAAACAGGAGGAAAGGAATAGGGGAAGGAGGAAATGGGATTAGTAGAGAAGAATATCAAAGGTACAGAAAAAAATCGGGGCCAGTGTGGTGGCTCACACCTGTAATCCCAGCACTTTGGGAGGCTGAGGTGGGCGGATCACCTGAGGTCAGAATTGCGACATTGTTTATTATAGGTAGCAAATATTTTTTCTAGTTGTTTTTGTTCTGTTGATAGTACTGTTTGACACAAAGAATCTTTTCATTCCTGTGTAATCAAATCTAGTAAACTTTTCCCTTTGTGTTTTCAAAAAAAAAGAATTACTTCACTCACTTTCTCAAACAACAACGAAATATAACCATTTAGTTCACTTGTCTGCTTTTCTTTCTTTTTTCTTGGAGACAAAGTCTCACTTTGTTGCCCAGGCTGGAGCCTGTGATCACAGCTCACTGCAACCTTGACAACTGGGGCTCAGTGATCCTTCCACCTCAGGCTCCTCAGTAGCTGGAACCACAGCTGTGCACCACCGTGCCCAGCTAATTTTTTAATTTTTGCAGAGATGGGGTCTCACTGTCTTTCTTGCTCAGGCTGGTCTTGAACTCCTGGCTTCAAGCAGTCCTCCCACATTGACCTCCCAGAGTGCTGGGACTACAGGCATGAGCTACCACACCAAGCCACTTTTCTGCTTTTCTCCCTGCCGAGGATGTGAGCTATCAGCCTTTCTCATTTAAAAGACAGCTCCTATTCCAGGGCATGATGCGAGGCAGTCAGGATAGTGGTTAACAGCATAGAGTATGGAGCCAGCAGGCCTGGTTTCAAAGCCCAAAAGAGCCATTTACTGTCCGTGTGATGTAGAGCTAGTTGTTTAAATCCTACGCCTCTCAGTTTTTTCATCTGTAAAATCAGTGATAATAATAGCATCCAATAGGCGTTTGGCTTAAGTAAGAAAATCCATGTAAAGGAGGTAGAACAGTGCATAAAACATAGTGAGCACTCAATAACTGTTATTTGATATTACTACTTCCTCAGAGTAAATAAAAATAAGACACTATGAATGAAAGATATATAAGCCAACATTTCTTTTCAAAACCAAAGGCAAACTGTTCATTAGCCAAATCCTACCATCCCTTGTTTAAATGATTGTAATCATCTCCTCACTAGCCTTGTAGTCACCAGTCTCTCCCAATTCATCTATTGTCATCAGTCAGATTTATGTTCCTAAAAATAATATTGACATTTCTATTTCAGGATCTGATGAACTAACTCCCTGCTGAAAACAAGTATAAAAACTAATATATAGGGCCGGGTGCTGTGGCTCACGCCTGTAATCCCAGCACTTTGGGAGGCCGAGGC